GTCATGGACGGTAGCTTGGAAGTACATGAAGAGACTCCTGAAACATTTTCAATTTTGCCATTTTTGAGCGTTTGTTAGAGATCCATTTTTTTTTGTTTCTTTTTCTTTTTGTTGTTGTTATTGTTGTTTTTTTCTCTATTTTCTCCTCGTTTCGGTTAATCACATGACTTAATGGCTCCATACCTATAAGGATTTTTTTTATATTTATAATCCGAGCCGCCAGTCTTTTTTTACGGCCATATAACCTGTCAACGAATTAATAATACACAAAACTTCTAATATTTGAGAGAAAAAATAGTTCATTAATTGACAACAGTCATGTGTAAGGCTTATGTATAAACATCTCAATTATGGAATGAAAAGTGACGTTACAAACGTGCAATATTATTAAATTTTAAAAAGCATCAAACAGTGAAATGTTACCGCTTCATTGCTAGAATATATATTATGTTAATGATACAAAAGCTAGATCAGCATGCCTCCAGTTAATTGCTTATTTTAATGAAACTTTTGAAAATGTGTTAAAACGTATAATATCGTGAAGTGAACAATGAAAGTAAATTAGGCATTGCAAACGGCACTTACAAAACACGTAAATTACCAAAAACAGAGGTCAAAATATGCAAAAATATTCAAACACTTGTACATTTTTCTCTATTTTATTTTCTTGAAATATTTTGGCTGATCTGGAGGCATCAGGCTTTAAATGAATTCGCATATTGAGCGTGACTAATACAAACTAGTTTACCTAGTTAAGCCTAGTTTGCAGTCTCTAGGATGGCATAATTTGAATAAAGAAATAGTTTTTATGGCGATTCATCATAACTTATTTACATAATTTCCTTTTCTGTAATAGTAATATGAAGCATTCTGCTTCTGTTAAGAAACAATAACATTTAAGGTGGTCTTTCCTTATGAGTACAAATGCATATATATTTGGAAACCAGTATTTCATTGTATTTTTGCTTCACTTAAAGTTGATTAAATAAAGTATCGAACACAGTGGTAAAATAATATTATTCCAAAATATTTTTTTTCTTAGATGAGTAAGCATTCAAGTGTATATGGTGCATTTTCAAGTATCTTAAAGAGACTAAATAACTTAGTACATGTGTATACTAGTGATTCTCCTTAATTTCTCTATAATGCTTTTTATCATATTTTTTCACACAATAAGAGGTAATTTAATAAAACGTTTTACAATCGTTACCACCTTAAAGTTTTTATAGAGCTTGCTCAGTGTGAGCTTTTAGCATCGTTTAAAGTCCGTCATCTGTCGTCCTGTCGTCGGATGAATTCGAACATGGAAAATCTCGGATGAAAAACTAGGTCAAGGGAGCTAAAAATAGAAAAATCTTCTTTACACTCTAGTGGCTACTGTTTTTATCAAAATATCCTGGAAATTAGTCAGAAAGTTTGTTTTGATGATTTCAAATATGGGTCACCTGGGTTAAAATACTAGGTTTAACCGCCAAAATATGGAAAGACCTTGTTAAAACACTAGTGGTCACATTTTGGTCAGGATGCTTGTCTAAGTAATTGCTTGGACGACTTTGAACATGGGTCATCTTTTTGTTTAGGCAACAGCAAAAGTCTTCGTATTTTAGAACATCCCTCGTTTCACTAACATAATTTCTATTTCAAAGAAATTAGAATTTTCCGTCAAAGGAACAAATCTATGCCAGAAATAATTGCATTTTTCTTTGGGGTCCTCCCGGGCTCCTTGCCTCTGGGTCGGGTGGGGGCTGCGTTCATTGAATGCCGCTTTTCCTTGTCGATCTTGTTTATCATATTTTATAAGCTTTTAAATATGTTATTTCACGTGGACACAAATGTCATGCGTTTCCAAATGTATATTATTTTTTATAATTGAAAGAAACAGTTAACATCGCAAACACTTGTAATATATATGAAAATATTCGGCTCATAAAAACATAGACTTTTTATTTTAAGTCGCTCCCGATGACATTTAACCTCAAGTCGACATTTTATTAAAATGATGACGTACAAACAGATGAGAGCCTGTAGAGAAATAATACTTTAGACAATTGTTGCAGCAATTAAAGTTCTATCACGTATTAAACAGACAGTACTTTTATCTCCGATAAAACTGTTAAGAGGTAGATGAACTTTTCTTTATGTTAATGCCAATAATAAATGGATCTTTTTTTCCTTTAAACATATATTTCTTTACGAGTTTGTATGTCGTTAACAAGCTGTTTTATTATAAAGTGTTTACCATCTGGAAAAAGTATACCTAACATGTACGTGTCAATTTGCCTTGAATAGTTATAACGTTCATCGTGTGATCAGTATTCATCTCTTTCTAGTGTTTAAGTTGTTTTTAAGATAAAGTTTTATCTTTAATACAACTGAGTAAATGTTGCATAAAAGATAAAACTATTATTTTTAAAATCAATTAGAACACTAGAAAAAAAGGGGAAAATACTGACAAAATCATGTGAATGTTAAGAATACATCTTCTCACACAGATAAAAAGAGCTCTCACACACACACAAAATAGTAGGATAAATTGATCCCTTGTCCCGTGCAACGTGGCGCCATAAAACTTATTATCTTATAGAATTGATATGATTTGGAGAATTCTAAGGAAATAGATCATAAATGTACTTTAATGTATATACACTTAAATTTTAATAATAATAATAATAATGATGATGATAAAAATAAACAAGTTTTTTTTTCCTCAGCCTTTGTTAGCAAGTCACAAGAGGGATCGGTCAATACAAATATCATACGAATGTATAAACTGTATACTAAATATTATAACAAGTTAAATATTGATGCTGCACATCAAAGACGCCGCCAAATGATGTTGTCAGTCACAGGTAATGTACAAAATCAGAAATGAAAATCGTTCTCTATTACAGTTGAATATTCGAAGCACTTATTAATTTTTTCTCCATGTTCTTGGTATGTGTCTGAAATTCTGAAATGTTTGTCTGTTGCGACTAAGATTAAAACGTCTGGTCGAAGCAAAATAAATTGGATAACAAGTGAAATTGAAAATATTGGTAACTTAAAACAAATTTCAAGACAATATGTGCCGAGAATATGTCCATTTAAATACATGTATTGGTGCGAATTACATAATGTTCGGATGATTTTGAGTACGAACTGTCTGTTATTTTACAAATAGCGAAAATATGTCTGTGATATCAAATAATAGTTATGAATAAATTGTTATATATATAATCAATTCTTTGTTACGTATTGTTTACTTATTTATAAAAGATTAAACTACTTGAATAAACAAAAGATTGCATATTCGCCTAGAATCGGTTTTGTAACTTAAATGTTCGTTATTTAAATGAATAACATGCCGCACACGTTTTGCCTGTTTTATCAAAAAAGATTTCCGCTGTGTCCGTAGCGCCAAAATAATCTCCGTTGCATTTTTTAGTGACACCTGATTAGATTATAGACGGGTCTCAACGGCTTTTAGAACGATTGACTTTATACTGGCTAAATTGGCACGTTATTTATTAGGTAGATAAATAAGATAATTATAAAAAAGTATGATATTCAAACATGACACTATCACTACAGTTAAACGTTTATTTTAATCCTTTAAAGCTCTGTGACATGTTGTACATCAGAAAAGCTATTTTTTTTTAGAAAATTTGAAAACAATTTGATTTTGTTAAAACAAAAAAAATGCACAAAATCAAGTCTAATATTTTCCCAATTGCTATACGGACAAATGCATATCTACTAGACGGCGCGTGCACGCGCCGTCTAATAATATTATTCTTTGCATTAATCATACCTGGAAATGTTTCTAAAAGCCCGTTTAACTTTAAAAGAAGTCATCTTGGGTAAATCGTGAATAATTCGTTGTGTAGAGATTATCCTTCTATTAAAATACATAAACATTATTTGAAAGGACATCCCGATTTATTTACATACACATATTTTTTAAGCAATTAGGTAACAAAGATACAGTTTCCTCCCACGCATCTCAATACGACACGAACAATTCTAGGCAAGATGCCAATATATCTGTCTAACAACAGGACTTCAGGAGACAATGTTATGTTTGACGTACAATACTCGTACAAGTAAAATGGTTTCCTGCGGTGAACATTTTAATGATATAAAGATATTTCATTTAACTACTTTCAACATTATTGGGGGGGGGGATAAATAAACATTTGTATCAGGAATATAGTTGACAATTGAATAAACGATCAATATAGAAGAAGGTCTTTGGAAACTGGTGACCGTTGAAGACCGGAGAAGGTCGACCATAAAACAATTATTTCTTTTTATTTTATGCTTTTGAGTGGAATACCCATTTATAAATAAAAATTATATTTGATAATTTCACAGTGAAAATTATCAAAATATAATTTCACACTTTCAATGTATGGACTACTTTATTTTAAAAAATCCCCATGTGGTGCCCCATTACTTCCCTTTATTATTTACCAGTTACTTCCCTTAGATTATTTACAAACAATCATTTTGACGTCTGCGCATCTGTCAAACTACCTACAATGGAGGACTGTCAAATAGATCCGGAAATTTTAACAGCAATAACAGATAAATTCTTTGACACTGAACCATATGGAGACTTTCAAATAATAGAAAAAGGTGATAGATTGTTCAGAAAAGTAAACCCAGATGAATTTTTGATAGAAAATGAAAATGAAAATACAAGAAAGAAAACAGTTTCTGACATGAAACTTGTGAATGCTTTTTTCAATTCAAAAAATGAGGCTAGACTACCTGAATTTATTCCACCAGACCAACTAAATGATTATTTATGTGACTTTATTCTTGCTGTAACAAAGAAAGACGGCTCTGAATATGAGCCTACAACATTAAGAGGGTTTATTGGGTCTGTTGACAGGCATTTAAAAGCAGCAGAAAGCACTGTAAGCATATTTAAAGATAAGGAATTTGCAAAAACAAGAGCAATTTTGAAAAGAAAGCAGCAACAACTGAAAAAGTTAGGGCTTGGAAATAAACCTCATGCAGCTGAGGCACTTGATGAGGAAATGATTGGAAAAATGTATGAATGTGGGACACTTGGTACAAAGACCCCAAAAGCACTAATTCATTCTTTATGGCTCATCTGTACGTCTCACTTTGGAATGAGGACAGGGAAGGAGATTCACCAACTGTGTTGGGGAGATATCAATATTGGGCTGGATGAGGCAAGTGGCAGCGAATTCATTTCATTTACAACTGAACGCCAAACAAAGACTCGCTCTGGAGACAATCCAAGAGACACAAGGTACTCTATGTTTTTAAAGTAAAGAAACATTTTATGAACCTTTTTAAGTTATTATTTGTTCATTTCTAACAAATTACAATAAAAATGAAAGAAGAGTATAAAATTTCAACTTGTTTCAAAGCCAGATGTCAATAGAATATAAAAATATCTGAGGTGGTAAGCAAACTTGAATGTAAATTCTATGTTGAAAAAGGGGCATTATTCTGTCAAAATGTTTCATAGAGTTACATCCTCCTGTCTACAGGCTAGGGTCATGTTGGTGAACAAGTGTGCAAAGTTTCAAAGCCATATGTCAATGGACTTTGAAAATATTCGAGTTATTACAAAAACTTTAACGTAAATTCTAAGTCAAAAAAGGGGCATAATTCTGTCAAAATGCCACTCGTGAGAATACTGTTTTTAAAGCCCACTCGATGAAATAAAATTTCATCTTACACACAAACGAATATCCTCTATATATTTGTGTAGATTCAATACTTAATTTATTGAACTCGTTAAATAAAACAACGTTATACGCCAGAGGCTCGCATAATTAAGGCCATCCTTAAAAAAATGTTCGTTTGCAGTAACGCGACCGACTCACAAAATTTGCCCCTACTCAAAATTTTTTTTCATGGTCTGGATAAAAAAAAAATTTTGAATCAGAAAATTATGCCTTGTGCTTTGTTTTCGTTCTTTTAAAGGTTAATAGAAGAAATAAAATGTAGGTCTTATTTAATTAGAATTCAGTTATCAATTTATTAATTGTTACCAGATTATCAAAGCATATATTGTCCAGCATTTTGAAATTCCATGCTTATTTGGGAGAACAGTTCAATAACAAAAAAAAAATCGACCTACCTACCCACCTTAAAAATTCTGGGTCGGGTTACTGCAAACAAACATTTTTTTAAGGATGGCCTAATATGATTTTATTCAACTTTTTCAATAAATATAATATGTAACCTACACTCATTCAATACCCTCTATATAAACATGTATACAGTACAGTATATATAGAGACTTCTATTAATTCTGAATGTACATTTCCATTTAAACATGCATGTCTTGTAACAACATCTATGACTAATAATCATTTCATTTTCAGGGCTATTAAACCAAGGGCATATGCCATTACCGAAGATCCAGAAAAAGACCCAGTCCACATTTATCGTACATATGAAAGTAAAAGGCCAATAGAAATGTGTAAGGATGACAGCCCATTCTTCCTGAGCCCAGGCAGCAAAACACACAAATGTTGGTTCAAAAAGTGCCCTATGGGAATGAATGCGATTTATGGTATAATGAATGAGATGAAAGCAGAATCTGGCATTGAAAACCCAAGAATAACACCATACAGGTTTATATTCTATTGAATTATTTAAATTATATGAATTTAACTCACCACAAAGTGACTATTAAGTCTATTTAATGTTGCTAATAAATGCTAAATAGAATGAATATCATAATTTTTTATAATAATTCAGCTACCATTCAACTTCAATTTCAAGAGTGCGAAACTTTGTAACATACCATAAAATTCCTATTTAACACCCATCCACTTATAAAGGTTTGATTTTTTGATAAGGAGAAAATCTACTCACCAGTGCTAAACTCAGTAGTAAATCAATGATTTTATTCAAATCCTTCAGAATCCATTTATTTTATATTAAACCAAAAAATATATCATATAAACTTATAAACTTTAACACTTCTTAACGTGATTAACACCAGACCATATTTATTTAAATGATAGGCCCCCATGGGAGTTTAATAGGAAATTTATGGTATTACAAAGAATCACATGTTTATAATATCCAATATTTTTTTTGCTTTACAAAAACCTTTAGGCAGAACTTTTTCTACGTAATAAAAAATTTCAAAACGTCTATATTGAACATGAAAAAAAAGACTTATGATTTCATAAAATACTTCAGTTTAAAATATAACTGATACACTCTGACTCTGTTTATAAATTATGAAATAAAATAAAGATGTTTATGATTACAGTTCTTGCACACAAACATTAAACATGCTACTTGTATACCACAGTTTTTCAAACATTAATTTTCCTATTTAAACTGTAGTATAAAATATTTTATAAAAAAATTCCAAAATTTTCCAAACCCTTTTCAGCTCAAGAAAAAGGATGATACAGAAGTTAAGTGATGAAGGAGTTCCTGCTAATCAGATTATGCAGATTTCTGGCCATAAAAACATCAACAGCATCAACAACTACAGTAAATTAAACCCGAACCAAAATCGTCAAATATCTGACATACTGTCAAATAAACCAAGCAGCACAGTTTCATCATACCAGTCAACCGTAGAACAAGCTGAAACAACTAGAAATCTTGAAAAACCATGGGCTTTTCAATCAAATGGTTTCCCGCAGGGCTTCTTCACTAACTCAAATATACATGGTAACGTAATTATTAATATGGGGAAAAGAACAGAAAGTCAGCAACTTTCTCAGACAAACAACCTACAAATATCCTGTTGAGCAACCTAGTTCATCACATTTATATCAAGATTCCCCTCCATTGGCATTCCATAAGCAAAGGCTTTATAAACGCATCAGATGCATTTCAGACAGCGACAGTGACTAAATGATGTAAATTCAATGAACAATGCAACTTTAAAAGGTTACTTTTGAAATAAATGAACGTGTTAAATGTTCCAAAGTGTTTCCTGTTAACTTTTTCTGATTATTTTAAAATGTAATTGTTGGATATTGCAAAGCAGGCTACTTAGATTGACATTTTTTTACATATTGTATATATTGAGAAAAAAATTTACAATGTTATCTTACTTACATTTAGTTTTTACTATTGCAAAAAATATTTGCTTTAGTTCATGTAAATGTATAACAATTCGTTGTTTTGTTATTAATTAAAATGTTGACTAAAGGAATTAGGTGAATCACAACGAAGTTAGAAACTATTTGTAAACTTTTTTTGCTTAATTTTCCTCTTCCCATCCTATACGCAACGACATCCCTCTAAGGTCTTCATATCATTTAAACAGAAATTAACAGACTAACATTTGTATAACTTTTAGTCATATTAGAATTCTTCCTGAATCCTTCATCTGCTTGGTCTCCTCATCTTCTCAACTTTATAAATAAGTCGAAGTTGACATTCAACTCAGTTAATATGTGAATTGACTTTTTTCACAGTATTACTTATACTGCATCCAGACATCGTAGTATAATTCGAGTGAGCCAATACTGTCGTATCTTATCACCGTAACTGACGAGCGATTTTCATCGATTCACACAATAATAGTGCTAGAATAATCTGATATTAATTAAGTCCAATCGTGACAAAATAATGTACTCATGTATACCTGCACAAGAAAAATAGGCTTGTCCCAGTCCTGATTTTGGGTTTTTGCATTAGATAACTCTTTACCCTTCTCAAAGAAGACTTAACAAGTTCAACATGAATAATTTACATAAATTTTAAAGTTTATATCAATGAAAAATCGACTATTTAAATTCTTTTTAAACCTTTCTGACACTAGTCTGAGTTTGGTACATGTCTATATCAGCGCCCTATGCGAATAACAGAAGATATCTCAGGAAATACGAAGAATCTGACTTAACTAAAATGTGCATCTAGACACATGTCGAGTTTATAGTTCTGGATATAATAATTAAAAAGATTATCAAAATTCCATGCCCTAACTATGGAAGTAAAAATGCCAAGGCCGGCTTTGGCCTATAGTAAAATGTAACATCATTGGTAATAGAACAGATTCAGTATAGTTGTGTAATATTTAAAAAGAAAACAATATAAAAAAAGAAAATAATCAGGGATTTTTCCAGGATTTTGGGAACATGACCCATACACTATGGAATGGGGAAATTCAACAGTGTTTAGGTATAAAATTTGGGAAAAAATGCATGACTGAATGAAATTTTGCAGGTGATTAAATGAATGCGCAACCAATTACTGTCCATGATGGCATCTTCAAACATTTGAGCACTATTACAGTGAAGAAACCGTTATTTTGCAAATATTGTTTAGAATTTTTTCTTAAATATTTTTAATTTTTATTTTTTGCTTTTCAGTGGATTACTGATTTATCCGTGAAAATTATATTTGGTAAATTTTCACAGTGAAAATTATCAAAATATAATTTCACTCTTTTCAATGACGAAACTACTTTTTTAAAGATTTTCCCCATGTGGTACCTCAATTTTATTTTTTGCTGACAATTTTCTGACAATGTCAGGCTGTTTTAAAAGAAAAAGCAAAAACTGAAATTGATAAATAACTTAAATGTCAAAAGTAATAAAAAGAAGAAAAACTTACTTCTATTTCATTCAAATTCATGAAATTCCAATCACCAAATTTCGTTTTTTTTTGTTTCATTTTGACAGTCTCAAAAATACATTCCTTCCCCCATGCAAAACTGCTCTTGATGACATTTGGGCATATTTAAAGTATCCTACGAGCAATAACTGCCGTATGCTTTTATGAAAAATTGAAAGCATTGACAGCCATAACTCGAAGAATAAGTTAAATCAACCCAGCGTTCTCGAGCAGGTTTCCAAGTTTTCCATTTTCCTAGCTCCTTTTCTGAATGTTTTTCACATCTGTCAACACTTATTTTTTGTCTGTTACAATCCTCAAATAAGTTTTCTTTCTTTTAAAAATGTGTATGACTAACAAATCCAAATTATATCCCTCTGAATCTTACACAATTATTTTCCTCCCATGAAATACAAAACTTTAAAAAATGGCTGCCGCTTACAATTTACAAAGCCAGGTCTAATATAAATTCGCACTAAGTAACAGAAATATGGTGGATGGTTGGACTTTTTCTCCTACAAGAATTGTTTGTTTTTATTATCAAAACAAGCGATCATTCATATTTTTTTAATAAAATTAATAAATATCACCGTCATTTAATGTTGATTGGCGGACTTATTTTTCAGCTCAAGACTGATATTTAACTTGTTTTTAAGCATAAAATAAAAAGAAAATTTGTCTGTTTGTTGTGTAAGATGAAATTTTATTTCATCGAGTGGGCTTTAAAATATACTATTTTCAATTGGGAAAATGACCCAATAACGGCTGTAAAATAACACAAAAAAATCCCTGGTAAAAAATCCCTGACCGAATACCGAATGACCCATTCAAAACAGAAAAATGAACGATTTTTTTTAACCAGCTTCCCGTTCATAGGCTTTGCCTAATTTCATATGATACAGAGGATATTAATTTTGTTTAGTTCATTGTAAGAACGGCATTATACATGTATTTCACCAAGAGGTATATTTCACGGGTGGCGCAGCCACAAATGTAATATGAACTTTTGGTGTTCACGAGATGAAATATATTTCGATCTTATACACTAAATTAAAGTAACAAATTTTCTTTTTATTATATGCAAATAAATGTTTAAAAAGACATTTTAAGCTAATACTTAATGGAAAACAAGCGGGTCCGAAAACAAGCCAAATAATAATAAAACTTGACCTCATTTACGACATCACATCATTTAGTTGGTTTCCAGTACTGTGTACACTAGGTATTTCATTAAAACAAGGTAACAGGCTTAAATTCAAAACAGTGAAAAATTTCAATTGATAATTTCACTGTTTCAGACAGTAAATTATTTTTTTTATTTCACTGATGTTATGTTATTTTAACGACACAAAATAAAATACGCATTTACGACATTCATATAATTTTGAAAAGTGCCGTATGGCTAGACAATACAGCATATACAGTGTGTCTTTGCTAGCTTTACATGACTCACATACGGCTAGTATTTCTGGCTACAGTAGCCGTACGGGCCCGTACAGCTAGCCACTTCTTTTCTATAAACCACCGAAAACATGTATTAAAATTACTTTATACGGTACCTCATACATGTACATGTACGATAAATTTATCCTTTTGATTCTTTGAATTTAATTCTGATGAAGAATCAGATATGTTCGAAACTGGTAGATCTTAATTAAAATATTGTCCATATTTATCCGGTATTGATGTGTGGTTTCTTTGCATTCTTCAGTTTTAACCAATTTAAGATAAAACTTCCCGGCACTTCCAGACACTTTATGAGTTTATCTCCTCCGGACAAAAATATAACTTAAACACTATGAATATCATATGAACAGATAAATATGAGCCAATCTGACTCAAGCTGAACGTGTATGGAGTTGACTCAGGGCAGACTTATTTGAAATTCAATGGTTGGTCATGCCCTGATTCAATGCTGTTAATTATTACTTAAAGCCAAACTACTAGATCTTCAAGAATAATATCATGGCAGAATTTGAATATCTTAAAATAACACATGGTAATTAATTTATATTAATTCAAACAAACTTACCATGTTATGACTAGTCTAGAGTTGTATCCTTTTACGGTTTCACACACTTTATTTAATATACAATCCCAGCTTGAATAACACCACTTGCACAGAATTTGTTGAATTTAGGTATATTTATGTACAACCAAACAAAAACTGTAATGGACAATTCATTCGCAAAACAGTATATTGTTCGGCAAGTAAACAAATACCCCATCTTTTTATTCAGTGCAATATTTGATGACAATATTTTACATGTTTTAGTCAAAATGATCCAATATCCGAATTAATGCACAGTTTCACGGAAATAAAAATCAATCAAATTTCGGGAAATTATTAGTCACTACCAACCAATTCTAATAAAATAAATGTATCCGTATGTCGTAAAACAAATTAAATTCCATGATTAATAGAATAACACACTTAAATCCCACATTTGAATTATCCACGTTTCATCGATTCACATTTTCAATATGGCGGCTTTTATGAAAATATGAAAAGATCAATGGATTACCGAGTATTACTTCGCCGAATCTAAGTAAATAATACTTTTACAAAATGATGCAAAAATGATTTTTTCATCAAATTCATGCAGTCCATATTCGAATTCAAGAAGATGAGACCACATAAGTGGTGTATAAATTGAAAATTGGGCAATAAATATCCGAACACTTTTTTTTTAACGTATTAGTAAATATTAACTCAGACGCGTACATATTGGGGCTCCAACCGGGAAAACATGAATCGCCAAAATGTTGAAAGTGTACTTAATTTATACATTCCCGAAAATATAGCATAAAATAAAAAGAAAATTTGTTTGTTTTTTGTGTAAGATGGAAATAAAATTTCATCTTACACAAAAACAAACAAATATCCTCTATTTAAGAAAATGATTAAATAGGCCTACCATTTTATGAATAATTCCGAGCAAAAAATAAATAAAGTAAACACACAAGTTTACGCAGAAAATATCTCTATTTATTATGGCAGATGCCACTACGAATATTTTAATTTTGTAGATTTTCAGTATAAACAATTTATTGTTTGTAAAATTTGATAGATTTTAAAGAAACATTGATAATTTTCAAACACTACATTCAAGTTTTTCCACCTTAAACGGTAAAATAATTATAGAAAATTAGAAATATCCCGTAATAGTTTTTTGTTCTTAATTAGGTGTAATTCGGACTTATTCCCTACATGTAAATCCGTAAAGAC